GAGCCAGTAGAGGCTGCGGCTGAGGCGGAGGTTGCAAACTGCTTGGCTGTTGAACTAAGTAGGCACGACCTCTGTCAAGCTTTGCAGCGCCAGAGTCTAGTTGCTGTTGTCGAATATGACAGTCACGCTCGTAGTGGCCCTCTCGTTTGCACCAGTTACAGATAAGTCGCTTATTCCGAGAATTTCGATTTGATCGTTCACGACGGTTTGAATTTGAGTTATTGCCTCCATTACGGAGGTTCCGAGAGCTTGTTCTGCGGTTCGGACGACGGCCTCGAGTTACTAGGGCTTGGCCAGACGTGTTGTCTCCTTCAGAAGAGGAATCTTTAATATTGGCAAGCAGGTAGGTCACTGTTTCAATGAAGGGAAGGTTCAATTGTTTTGCCGTTTGACCTTCAGTTTTGTAACAGTCAGGGAGTCGATCCACGAGGATGTGAACGGCTATATCTCGATGGATTTTGTAAGAGGTGTTTTCCAAGGAAAGAAAGATATTGCGGAAACGACTTGTGTAGGTAGAAATGGTATCCTTTGGCTCCCACTTGTTGTTGTGGAATGATTCGTATTGAGCAATTAATGGGAGAGTTGTCCCGCGGTCGCAGCCAGCCTTGAGTGAGGACCAGAGGTCTCTTGGGTTTGTATGGCCAACTAGGAGCTTGCGACATTCAGGGGACACATGTTGACGGATTTTGGTAAGGTTTTCGGTTAACGTTTTAGCAATATCTCGATTGACATTGGTCGTAGGGGGTGGCACCGTCACTGTAGATGTTGGATCGACGTACTGCCATAGGTCGTAGAGGATAAGATGATCTTGCCAGTATTCACTCCAATCAACCCAATTGGAGTAGTCGAGGATTGGGAGCTTTTCACCAGAGGTAAAGGTGTTAGAGGCAGACATTTTTGGAAGAGTAGAGGAGGTTGTAATCGGAAATCAGAGTCAAGTCTGGGTACTCCTAAGAGCTGTATTTAAGCCTAGAAGTCCTTCAGACAGTCGGTGAGACAGTGAGACGGTGAGGCCTGACATGTCGAAGAAACAGTCGATCGTGAAGTTCTTGATTTCCAACGTAGGTCTTGGTGGCTTCTTGACCGACATTTTGACGTTTGTTGTAGGTGGCTCTCTGAGTTGATTTGTCGCGATCCTTGACTGGTGCGGTCGTATATGGCCATCTTGTGACTGGATTCGAATTAGGAAGTAAGTCAGGTCCAGGTAATCACGATAAAAGCATCAATATGTTCAGATTGAAGATGCGAGGAGCTCATAACCTGTTAATGTGTTGGTTGTTGTTATTGGTTATCTAAGCTAACTACAGCTGCGCTGACCCCTTTACGGAGGTCACATGACTCTCGGAGCATAGTTGATCCGCGCCGGAGGGAGATCCACGGGTGTAGCACGCTGACAGTTGTATTGGAATCTTTTGGTACTAGTCCGAACGGGGTTAGGCTCTGATAGGAGCGTACAATTTGGGTGAGGAATAATTTACTCTGAGTTGCACACTCTCTAAAAACACAGCTAGCTACGCATCTTGATCCTCTTTATATACACAATATAGTGGCAAAATAGCAATCCTGAATCCAAAAGTAGGGCTGTCGATATTGTGCCAAACCTAGGATCGGCAATTGTGTTTTTCCGGGGATTCACCGATTAGTAAGGTTGTCCAGAATGGGATTAGCGTATCAGATATCCAACACGTTGTCTGAAGCTATTCGGAAAGCCCATTCGAATAGGGCTTTACACTACATACTGTATATATGCGGCACGCACGTGCCGCGTTGGACTAACTGATATCCAGTGCCGAAACGCGCTAGGTTTGATATTCACGTTCCGACAGTAACCGTACTGTATAACTAAATAAAAGTGGTTTTCCACATATTTGTAGAACCAAACTCAATTCTGTTGATCAAAATAAAATGTGTCATGGGCTGACCTCAAATTGATACAGTGGTTTGCAGGTTCAGAGTTACAGCTCAAATCTCTTCTCTTTCTTCTGAAACAGTGCCAAGAAGACGCCATAGTAAATATAGGATAGTGTGGGAATAACGTTAATCCGAAAATAATACTGTATCTGTCGATATAGACTTTTATTTACAATACATGTATGGCGACAAAATACAATAGTCTGAACATGTGTTCTAAAACTGCCTGGTAAACTCCATCGTTAGTAGAGCAAGCCTAGCAGGCAAACTTCTGTCTCCTGTTGATCAGCAACGGGTTCTAGGACTGAAATCCCGACTTCTAGCCTCTCAACGCTTTTTATGAGCATCCCTGGCACATCACAATAAAATTGATAGATTTACCTACTGAATTATTACAACTCCTGACAGAATTCCTAGAAATAGAAAAGGGTATAAGCGCATTATCGCGGACCAGCCGATATTGTTATTCTGTGTTTATTTCGTGTCTTTATCAGTATGACTGCAAAAAAAAAAAAAAAAAAAAAAAAAAAATAGCTTCGCACTACTATGGGCTGCTAAAAATGGGAATGAGAGTATGTAAGGGCTGATTCCATCGCGAGATCCAAGGAGCCAATCCGAATACGAGAAAGATTGATGCCTGCGATTTAGGGCAGGAATACGGATGAATGCCTAAGGCCTTGGCAAGTCAGCATAGTTGGCGGCAAGCGCGATCTAGATATTCCGAAAAAACTAAGTATAACTTATACCTTTAGAGGTAATATCAATCTTGTCAGAAGCGAGGGGATTCTCCGAGGAAGTCCAGATCATCTTTCTGATTATCGAAATACGATTCGCGTGATTAAAGGAGAGATCCCTGGGTAGCTGGGTTGAAGACGAAGAGGGCCGGAGGCGCGATGGAGGAAGATCCGGCCGTAACGATGCGTGTAGGACGCGTCGTAGTGCCGTCAACGAGAGCTCGAGAAGCTCTGGAAGGTGCTGACAGCATCGATGCCACCGCTGCGACTAGGAGGACGTCAAAAGTAAAGCCAACTGCAGTGAGGAAGGCTGCTAACCAGATTGAGGAGAGACAGTGCGCTCAAGACGAAAACCAAGCGATGCTTAGAAAGATGTGTCAGTACTTGGAGGGCACCTATCGGGAGGTCAAAAGTTTGAAAGAAACGCTTAGTAAACAGGAAAAAATCATCTAGGAACAAAACGACATAATCAAGGGACTACACGTCAAAGAGGCTGCTCAAAAGTTAAATATACCGGGATGGAGAGTGTTACGAGATCAGCTCTACCCAGTCAAAATCGACAATGCTAACCGGACAGCGATCCTGGATATAGATGGTAATGTCCTGCCAGGAGCAGTCGAGGCCCTAGGAAAAGAGAACAATGTCGACATCGCCAAGATAACCTGGCTTAGCAAGAAGGACTCCAATAAAGCGTATGGATCTATGGTGGTATATATTACCAAAGGAACAGATGCCAAACGCCTACTAGAAGGCAACTACTTCGACATAGCAGGAGAATCTGCATACACTCGAGCCTTTGAACCACGCACAGGACCATTTCAATATTATAACTGTCAAGAGATAGGATATAAGGCTTTTGCATGTAAAAAGACCTAGACATGTAGTAAATGTGCAAAAGAGGGACACTACCACAGTACTTGCCAAGCTCCAATCCTAAAATGCATTCCTTGTGGAGGACCTTATGAGTCATTTAGCAGAAACTGTCGAGTTCACCTTATACAGTCTAATGCATAAATCCTTTCACATTTTACAACTAAATGTTGGTAAACAAGACGCAGTACAACAAAGCCTAATGAATGATAACAAAATTAGAGACTATGGAGTGGTAGCTGTATCTGAACCACACGCACAGGTAATCGAAAATACTATGGTGACAAGCCCAATGGGACACTACTATTAGACAAAGATGATACCTACAGAGAGGCATGATGGAAGATGGCCAATTAGGAGCATGTTATGGGTTCGGAGTGATATCGAGGCTGAACAGATTCCGGTAGCATCTCCAGATCTGACGGCCACGATACTCCAACTCCCAGACCGGGCAGTGCTAATAGTGTCTGCCTATGTAGTGGAGAACAGTGAAGAAGCATTAATATCCACTATTAGATTGCTACGCAGCCTAGTAGCAGATATCCAGGGGAGGGGAGGAACACGGACAGATGTGCTGATAATGGGAGACTTCAACAGACATGACCAACTCTGGGGAGGAGATCAGATATCTCCTATGAGACAAGGGGAGGCTGATGATTTGGTTGACTTTATGACCGAATACTCCCTCCACAGCCTCCTACCTAGAGGCACAAAAACATGGCAACTAGGAGACAGGGAGACAACAATCGACTTGGTACTAGCATCAACAGAGCTAGCAGAAGAGATGGTACAGTGTGGTACACACTATACAAACCATGGATCAGACCATCAAGCAATTGAGACAGAGTTTGATATATCTGTTCCAGACCAACCAGTCAATGAGAGACTGCTCTTGAAGAACGCGCCCTGGGCAGAAATCAGATCTAGAATAGCTACTAATCTACAGGTGGTTCCTCTAGGTGACTCAGTACAGGAGCAGACAGACCATCTGATGACAGTGGTTACGAAAGCAGTCCAAGAGCTAACACCGAGAGCAAAACCCTCACCATATGCCAAGCGGTGGTGGACAACAGATCTAACACAACTCCGCCGTATATACACCTACTGGAGAAATCAGGCCAGATCTCAGCGCAGGAGGGGATACGCAAATCCTAAGCTCGAACAACAGGCTAAAAACACAGCAAAAGAATATCATGATGCAATCCAGAAGCACAAGAAGACACACTGGGAAGACTTCCTTGCCAATGACACTAATATATAGCAGGCAACTAAATATCTAAAGCCTAGTGGCAGCCCATTCAGCGATAAAATACCACCATTAGTGCGGTCCGATGGGTCCACTACCAAAGACAAAGTAGAACAGGCTAAGGAGCTACTTGCTACATTCTTCCCACCACTACCAGTAAGGATTGAAGATGAGGGGACCCAACAACAAAGGGAGCCAGTCCACATGCCAGACCTAACTCTGGAGGAGATTGAGTGGAAAGTATTCGAAGCCAAACCATGGAAAGCACCTGGAGAAGACGGCCTGCCAGCAATGGTGTAGAAGCAGCTTTGGCCAGTGGTTAAAGATAGGGTATTTCTCATCTTTTAAACATCGCTGCGAGACGGCGAAATCCCTTCCCAATGGTTAAATGCTAAGATTATACCGCTCAAAAAACCTGGAAAGGATAACTACACGCTAGCCAAGTCGTGGAGACCCATATCGTTGCTCTCAACACTAGGTAAAATACTTGAAGCTGTCGTCGCAGAAAGGATATCATATGCTGTTGAAACGTTTGGCTTATTACCAACAAACCATTTTGGAGCAAGGAAGAGGCGCTCCGCAGAACAAGTGTTGCTACTGCTCCAGGAAGAGATCTCTAAGGCATGGAGGAATAAGAGAGTGCTTAGTATGGTCAGCTTCAATGTCAAAGGCGCATATAATGGAGTCTATAAGGAGAGACTACTTCAGAGACTCAGGGCAAGAGGGATACCTGAATATATAATTCGGTGGATTGATGCCTTTTGCTCTAACCGCACAGCAACTATTGTGTCAACGGGCTAACGAGTGAACAACAAGAATTACTACAAGCAGGCTTACCACAAGGGTCGCCACTATCTCCAATATTGTTTCTATTCTTTAACGCGGATCTAGTGGAACACAAGATCAGTGCCTCAGGAGGCTCAATCGCCTTTGTGAACGACTATACAGCCTAGGTAACAGGGCCAAGTGCTGAGGCAAATCAACCTAGCATTGAGGCCATAATCAACAGGGCTCTCGACTGGGAGAAACGAAGTGGAGCTACATTCGAAGGTGAAAAGACAGCCATTGTGCATTTTACTAGAAGAAGAGATCGATCAAGCAGAGCTGTATTCACAGTCAAAGGAGAGTCAGTTGAACCAAAAGAGTGTACTAAAATTCTTGGGGTAATTATGGATGCGCAGCTACGCTACAAGCAACACATTGCTCGAACAGCAACTAGAGGATTAGAGACTGCTATGGCACTGAGGAGACTAAAGATAGTCTCCCCACAAACTGCAAGGCAGTTATTCACAGCAACAGTGGTACCTGTAACAGATTACGCCTCTAGTGTGTGGATGCATGCCTGCAAAACACATGGAACGCGGTGTCTAAATAGAGTGCAGAAGATAGAGGGTATAGCAGTCACAGGAGCCTTCCAGACAGTTGCGACAGCAGTCATAGAAGCAGAAGCAAACATTCGCTCATTTAGAGAACGACAAACAGAGAAAGTAACAAAATTATGGGCTGATATTTGCGCGCTTCCTGGGACAAACCCACTCACAAAACTGAGGGTCATATTGACTTAGAGGTTTTCCTCTCCACTACAATGTATAGCACAGAGACTAGGAAAAGATGCAACAGATAGAATGGAAACCATCAATGCGTACGCGGTGCCACCGTGGACGGATCGGCTCCAGATAAGAGGTGGACACGACAGAGAGAAAGCCATCGAAATCGCTAACAAGGCAGAAGGTATTCTGATTGCCACGAGCTCATCCTCCAGGGGTGACATAGTAGGCATGGGAGGGAGCATTAAGGATACCCAAGTTAACAGTGCCGAAGAGGCAATGACTAGCTACACGGTCACGCTAGCAAAGCGAACAGAACAAAGCCCTTACATAGCCAAACTGGAGGCAATAGCAACAGGATTGAGACATATTCCACTATGGATCTGCAACCGACAGGTGATCATCCTCAGCAGTAGCCAGTCTGCGTTAGCTATGATTAGACAACCCCGCCAACAATCTGGCCAAAGCGTGATCCAACAGATATATAGGATGGCCCAGCTGTTGTGAGAGAGAGGGAACATAGTCAGCTTACTTTGGGTTCCGGCACACTCGGACACAGAATTAATAGTAAAGGCGAAAACAGCTGCTCAAAGATCAACAAGGGAGGGACGTGAACCAGAAAAACAATCGTACCAGGCTAAATCAACTATAGTGAGACTTACTATTGCCAAGCAACGCGAGAAGAAAACCCTTCTAGATGGAGTAGGTAAGTACTCAAAGGCCATTGACTTAGCATTACCAGGAGAGCATACCCACAGCCTATATGATGGGCTGAAGCGGACAGAAGCTATAACTCTGGCTTAACTTCGGACAGGAATGACCAGGCTTAACAGTTACCTAGTTAGGATAGGGGCCACAGAATCAGACCTCTGCGCCTATGGCCGGGCAAGCGAGACTATAGAGCACTTCCTATTCCGCTGCACAAAGTGGATAGGAATGAGAGAAGGCATGTTACAGTGCACAGAAACAAGAAGAGGGAGCCTATCATTCTATCTTGGAGGAAAAGCACAATCTGATCCTGAGCGATGGCAACCAGATATCAAAGCAGTACGAACGACAATTAGATAACGTAATCGGAAGCGAGTTGGCCATGTAAGCGAGCTGGTCGCCCGTGTATGCCATACAAATGATCACTGTTTATCACCTCTATATCTCGACAAAGTTATGTATATAGCATGTATCAAGTTAACTTATCACAATGAGAATTCTAAGTACATTAAGAATTGCAAGTTTGAATTTATCCTGATAAATATTCGTCAAGATTACCAAATTTCGATTGTAATCTATTGTAGAATATATATTTTTGGAATTACTTAGTCTATACCGGCCTATCTTTTTTTTTAAAACTTACTGATCAATTACTTGATATGAATGTTCAGCTCCGTGAATACTTTAAAGTACCATATATATCTCTTTGTCGAGACATAGAGGTGATAGACAGTGATCATTTGTATGGCATACAC